CATAGCCTTGTAGGCCTGGCGCTTCAGGTCGCGCATGGCATGGCCTATGACCCAGAATGACAGCATCGTAGGCCCGCGCGTTGGGGATGACAGCCACCACCACAACTTATGTCCTCTTCGGATTAAAGTATTAGATTTTAGATGGCCGTGAAAGGCGTAACCTTGTAGGCCTGGCGCTTTAAGCCGTGGATGGCCTGGCCTATTATCCAGAATGGGATTGCATCGTAGGCCTGCGCGTTGGGGGTGACTGCCATGGCCACCACTACCACCATCGCAACTTTTGACCTCTTCGAATTAAAGTATTAGACTAGCGGCCTGCGGCTGCTTCGCTGGCAGTCTAATCGGTGGAAATTTGAATCGCCTATTGTGTGCTTAACGTCTTCTTGACAAATCTCTGTTCATCGCATTACCCATTCGGAACTGAACCGCTTCATTACATTTATATACAAATATCTTACAGTACACAGGGATATTCTGTTCCTAAACACTATCATCATGATATTCGAGCTGATTGTCGCAATCGCCATTGTGAAAGCCTCGGTGAACACGTTTTCATGAGACTCAAGACGACAGTGCTAATTTCGTCCTATCAACACATTCAACACTCTTGCATCACCGATTAGCTCATCGGCTATTAGGGCTAGTTTATGATACATACACCAATGATTCTGAAACAGTACGGACCGTTTCCATGAACATGTTCGACGGCACAGAAGTTAGTGCATGTGCGGCATAATGCTAAAGACTAATTCCTGAAAATACTCAACCTTGCATCAAGTTGTTTAGCTGGCTGCAGGGCTCTCCTATTCCGAAGCTCAGCATTCGCTGCCTCTTGCTGCTCAGCAGTCTGAGCGGACCTAAGCGCCCTGCGTACATGTGCTTGCTGTTTATCACCGATTCTAACCATTACGGCTAGCACCGATTTAGGCACTTCGTACCGCAACTGCAGTAGCAAACGTTTTTTCCGCGTCAGCACCAACAGTTTTTTACCAGCAACGACTGCCTAATCGCCGTCCTGTGGGAACTCCTCCAACATATATTCTTCGCGTTCAATCTCACCTCGCAAAAATCGCCACCATTTTGATGGGAGGTGCACCTCGTTTGCGCGACATATGAAGAGAGACTTTTTAGACTACTATTTTGACTTCATCAATCATGAGNCCTGACAGTGCTCGCTGCGCAAACGACTGTAGTGATTTGAGATGACATGGAGAGGCCTGACAAAATGTCCCGTGTTCCGTGGTGTAATGGTAGCACACCTGACTGGCAAGCAAGAAGTCCGGGTTAAATTCCCGGCCGCCACCGGCTTTCGACACCTGATTGCTGCGTTCCTTGCATCAAGTTGCCCAGCAGACTGCATGGCTCTCCTACTCCTGAGCCCAGCATTCGCTACCTCTTGCTGTTCAGCAGTCTAAGCGGCTCTACGCACATATGATTGCTGTTCATCACTGATTCTAGACATTACGGCTAGCACCAATTTAGGCACTTCCCACCTCAACTTCAGTGTCAAACGTTGTTTTTCACCAGCAACACCTGCCTCATCGCCGTCCTGTGGGACCTCCTTCAACATTTATTTTTCGCGTTCAACCCCCCCCCCCCCCCGGCAAAAATCGCCACCATTTTGATGGGAGGTGCACCTCGTTTGCGCGACGTATGAAGAATAGACTTTTTTTACTTCAATCATGAGAACTCAAATAAATCGAACATAGCATGAAACGCAAACAGAAAACTATTGCATGGAAGCGATGGCGCGAACCGCCACGTCCGACCTGACGGAAAAAAAAAATATTGAAAAAATACCTCAGCAAGGAATAGGAAGGAGTAGAACTTCCAGTCGATCAGTGAAAACGTGACACGCAATCAGTTAGTAACACTCTTTGATTGAGACAGCTAAGTATGAAGACTATGGAAATAATACAATGAACCAAAGCCTATGGTTCAGACTGATATAGGCCAAAGACCTGACACAATCTGTTACGATCGGCATAGTGATGTATTTAACATGAGAATGCATCATTTTCCCTGGGAAATTCAGTAAAATGTACTAAACGTGGCAAGTACCAGCTTGTCCCCATTTGTCTTTTCAGTTTATTTCATTAGTTTTGGAAAATCCCCATTACCTATAACTTATCGTACATTATGAATGTTTAAACTCATACCTGGGATCCCATGAAAGTTGTGGTCTGTTGAGGTACCTAAGTTTTTCATTAAGTATGAAAAGTGATGGTTTATGTTCCGTCCACACGAGAATAGTTCTGTAAGCAGAGTGCTTCCTTTATTTCTTGAAAGCTTTAAACTATATTTCCCTAAGTTGCAAGACCGAGCAATTCCCAGATGCATATCCAAAGCATGGCCGTTCGCCCAATACAGGAACCAGCAATTCGGAGCATGTAGAGGTATACGTTTCATACTTTTGATTCTTGGTGGATAAGAATATTCCGTTGATACGTTACGTGCTCAGACCATCCAGAGAGAGAGGGGAAGAGGAACAATATATTACGCACCTAACGACGCCTGCATTGCACTTCTCAGTAAATGCAGTTGTAGTCGTTCTCTGGAGTAGTCTGAAGTGCATTTGGGAGGAACGGCTGACCTTACAGTGATGACCCAACATAGGAAGATATTTGATCGGCTTCAATGGCACTAGATATTTAAACACGTACACCGATAGGGAATGATAATGCCTACCTTTGACCAAATTAAGGGTATGATGAAATATAACTTGAATTATTTTGCAATTTCATAGTAATAACATGCAATCTTAAGAACTCCGTACCTTACAACCCCTAAATGTCAAGGCAAAAGCACGTTCAAAGAATGATGTGTCGTCAGTCCTGCTTCACACGTGATTCACGCATGACTTGTAGCATTTTCTTGAGTCGTCACCCATGCGAAGGGGGCGTTAATAGCACTTATCGTCATTATGACCTGAAATGAATAACTCACTATTCATCGTACGTTCCTATTTTTCTCCATTCTCTTTTTTGGCCGGCAGAGCTACCTTGACAATTTCCGACACTCCCAACCGCAATGAGGACCAGACTTTTTCAGTCTGTCTGTTCCAAGTTCTACTCCGAGGGAAAGTCCGGAGCTTCATAATATCATCCAACTTTTTCTAAAGTCATGGATTATGGAAAATATTGTTTCATATCTCTTCTATTTGCCATCCAACGGCCAGTATCCCGTTTGTCATAGTCCTATATAAGGGCTTCATTGACCCAGTACCGATCTCATTCATATTTGACAAATAATTGTCGAATATGATAACTTGCTTGCGTAACAGGGAACAATTCTGAGCGTGTGTCTCATAGAGTCAAGATTTGCAAAATGATTATTAAAATTTTGTAAGTACACATTCTCACTATGCAAATATATTTTCTCAGTGGCAAGAAATCCCGTATGTACAACCTCATAACTTTCAAGACGTACATTTCAAATATTGTTCTCTTTCCAAACAGGTTTTCAAGGGGTGTAATTCATTTCATAATAGTCTCAAGGAAGTGACGTCACTGGATGTATGCAGCCGTAGAATTGGTGTCGACATCAGAGATTTCCTCAAGGTAAGAGTATTGGGCATATATCGTAACATAATTACGAGCAAATTGAGAAATGGATTTCGAAGCTAGCGTATCTCGTGCTTTCGTTCCCGTGTGGGGATTTTTCTAAGAGCAAAATATATCCAGTAGGACCATGAATAACTTGGCAAGCTATATATTGGAAGTTCACGAACAATTTCTTAGCCTTTAGTTTGGTTTCACGCATTCAACAATTTTGCTTCGAATCCTGACTCAATGAACCATTTATGAGTCATGAATCTCTCTGCCTAACGCCAGAGTTAAACCACATTGAGATGGAAGAGTGTTGTGAGTAACCCAGAAGCATTTAGGCAAGCAAAACATCTCTTCCTTTCCATATCAAAGCTTTTGCGATTGGAATCTTCTTTGACTAAGTATATACAATGTAATACTTATGTTATCATAGATTTTGCATCTTTGCTGACTTGTTATGGGGAATGGTGGTTTTCCCACACTAAGGAATCTGAGGCTTCTTGATCCTGAGGTTCCGAATAATTGTTTCTTTGAAAATTTGGACAATTGTCGCACTCCCGTATCTTGGGCGCTAATCGTAATGATATCATAAAGACTATCATGAACATCATAAAATTAACGTTTCAGATAGAATAACAATACATTAAGAAAAATGCAATTGAACATTATTTCCCCCAGGTGTTCATCGGAGGCGGCACAGAGAAAAAATTCATGGAGGCAGCCCAGGAATATATTGAGACTTACTATCCGCATGCTGGAGAAACTCATTATTCTCTCCCGTCTGGCCTCCTTTTCCAAGGGTCGGAGATGGAGAATGTGGACTTGCCACCACACTTTTTAGCTAAGGCCAGTGTATTCGATCAAGTGAAAAACACTTTTAAGTATCATCCCTCGTTGGTGGTTGCTGACTACGAGTTTTCCAAGACCTTCAATGTGCAAAAGATATTTGAAAAAACTCTGAGAAAAATATCTGAAGTATATCCAGATGAAGTCACAAAAGTCAACATTCCTAGAGTCGAGGACCTGACAGCTCATGACACTTTTTTGTCCTACCCTAGTGAAAAGACTATTTACAACATATTCTTCCAAATAAGAGACACTACATCGAAATATCACGGTGATAAAATCAAATACGATATTCAAAAAGCTATCATTAAATGTAAAGAAGACAGAACATTGTTCGAGACGATGTGTGGGCCCTTCCTTGACAATTCGCAACAAGCAACAAAAATTTCTGCCTTTCCAGCCTTTCCCCTCATGGAGAGAAGGGAACTACTGGGATTGCTGAATTGTGAATCATGCTCAGGGAAAATCTTGACAAAGGACGATCTCTGTGATTCAAAATCTCTTGAACTTTTTCTCCAACAGAACGGTGTGGAAGAGGATTCATTTGATCCCAGTAGGGCCCAAAGCATTATCAGTGAAAATTTCAGAGAAGTTATATATTTATATATCTGTGCTGCCCATTTCGTTGAAATGCCACGGACCGATTTCCAGTATGCCGAAGCTTGCAATGATCAAATGAGTAAGTTGGATTTGTTGGGCATGCTGACTCCTAAGCAAAAAGAACTCATTGAGGACACGTCAAGGATTCTCCTCATCGCCGGTGGATCTGGTACGGGGAAGACCATCATTCTGAAAGAGAGAGTGAAGCGGCTTGCTAAGGAAGAACCTAACGCTGAAGTATTAGTCGTGAACCTTCCTGGAGGACTTCTCACAGAAGAATTCCAGCTCTCCTTTAAAGGTCAGTAAATTGACGAACTTCACCTAGTTCTTGAAGAAGGACGAGTTATTTATCAAACAATTACTTAAGAATTGATATGTACATTTGTTTCGCCAGCCTATTTTTATGTGTCCGATTTTTCTCCTTATCGCCTTTCCCACTGGAGAAAAATTAAGAGATGTTTGGATATTGTGCCGTCACAATGTGGGGAACACTGCTAATGACATGAATATGTCAGAGCCCATATTTATTGGTTTTGGCTCATCCTCCTATGGGCTTCATTGATTTAAAAATATGATGCAAAATTATTCCATTCATAGAAAAAGTGTAAGCCTATAATGGAAAAGAAGATGTCATATCATGGATAAGTCCAATATGGTCAGACAAAAGAAAAATAATTATTTTCTAGAAATTATTGGTTAGAATCTTTTCTTAATCAACGAAGAAGATCTGGGAGAAAGGAGTGACAAGCTAGTGTCATCTTTTTCTGCCTCGTTAGGGGAGTCCGCACGAGTACTCAAGCCTTACGTTAATAACTTCTTACTCTCTGCAAGTATCTCCATCAGCATAAAGGGCGCTTATCGTTCTTGTGATGGGATTTGTGATTATACGTTTATTTAAAAACTGTTATATGGTTAACATGAAACTGAGAACGTAAATATTGAGGATTCCTCACTTTTAAAAGTGTTTTAATTTCAAAGTTTCATAAGTAGCATCTCTGAAGCCCATGAACTCTTGATTGCTCACCCATTAACACCTGAAGCCCTGCACAGAATTATCGTCAACACTAATGATGTAATGAATTATGCGATAAAATATTAAAAATTAATGTCTCTACCGACATGTTACCATATATCTGAAGGACCTTCAATCGAGTTCTAGCTGGATTAGATCTGACTCACTCCACTGTTCGCACATGTTTCTCACGCGTTGCTTCTTTAGTACTTCCTGGGCGAGGACTTCCCGAAAGCATCAGAACTTTCTTTCGCAATCGGATCTTCTCAGTTTTACAATGAACCTGGCAGATTCTTTTCCTAGCTCACAGCTTCGAGGTACACAAGGATGATTCCCGCATGAATATTATCCTTCAGAAAAAATTATATCACCAACAATTTCCCAATGCTACTTTTACTCTCTATAGCCTATGTAATGCTATAAGACCAACTGAAAGAGCCAACTTCAATATAAAAAGTTCAATTATTCCAATACATGTATATCACCAATGGAAATGTATTACTAGAAAATTTATTTTGGGGATTTTGCTCGTTGTCAAGAAAATCGTAGCCTACCTACCCAAGCAGCATGTTTACGTGAACAAGATATCAATTCCTTGCAAACAATGTAAATTTATTGCGATTGCCATGAAAATAACATCACGATTACGTCAAATTTACTGACCTTTAAAGGAGAGCTGGAATTCTTCTGTGAGAAGTCCTCCAGGAAGGTTCACGACTAATACTTCAGCGTTAGGTTCTTCCTTAGCAAGCCGCTTCACTCTCTCTTTCAGAATGATGGTCTTCCCCNTTAAATGCTGAAGTTAAGCTTTTTATTACAGCAGTGCACGGAATTAGGGAAGAGTAGAATCCCAGCTGTTCAAGTTCTAAATCTTCTCTACCCTATATGGGAGAGAGCTCCTTGAAATCTACTCCTCCTCCCGAGGTTCCAGTACGGGAGGAGGAAGTGGTAGGTCGGTTAGGTACTCTTTAGTGCTGGTGAGAATGAGTATTCGTGTACTCGTCCAATCACCCTAGAGTTCTGAAGAACGTAAAGGAATAGGAGATTCGATATATGAATTGCATATAAAATGGTACTGATTGGCTCTTTAAATACACATGAATGCCAGAGGGGAATTAACATAAATCTTCCGTAAAAACAACATAAAAATACTGTTAGGAATGCAAACGGGCATGTCAATTTTACGTAAAATTGACGTTAATTTTATATCACCGTTTACGTGTCACAGAGGTGACATTTATGCAAACATGTTGGCCTTATCTTGCCAATGGTTTGCGTAAAAATGATATAAAATGGACAAACAATTTACATTCAGTTTACGTAAAATTAACATAAACATGCTGTTTGGGTACTGATTCAACATGTTTGGAGCGCAGGCTACAAGAAGATCTGGAAATAAACTATTACTGTTGGGCTTAATTTCCAAGATGAGCTACTTTGAATTAAGTGATGAGGTATACATGGTGGAGACAAAAAATGCAACACTATCATTTTCGGTTAGTTGTCAATCTGGCGTATGCTACCAATTTTAATAAAATTCGGTAAATATATAGGGAGACTCAGTTAGAGTTTGTGTACCAAGTTTCATGCAAAAATTAAAAATATTGTGAGATTGACATTTCATTTACATTCCATCACCGTAAGTGATGAAATTCGTAAGTGTTCATTTCTTCTTTCATCTTAAAATCTTTCACAGCTCACAAAAACAAACAAGCAAGCAAACAAAACAAATGCACAAACGTCAATCAAGAAAGGCCACTATTTGGTTTAAGGACATTCATTTCAAATGAAAAGGTGCTGATTGTGCCGTCCATTCTGTTGAACACTAGCCTCTTGTCTGGGACAATATCGATCAACTGCTCGGTCAATAAAACTTTGAGGCCGTGCCTCCCTATTTCCCTTTGTAGCATTATGCAGGAATGAAAGTTCATGAATTCCTTTTATCTCAGCCTGAAGTTCATATCAATATTTTCGACACCACATTTTGTCAGTGGTCATCAACAAATAAGTACAGCTCTGATAATTTTAGACCCAGAAAGATGAAATTTGGCATATAAACTTCAGTTGTGTGAACCTATTAGATTAAATTTTAATTAAAATCGGCAGTCTACAAAGAGATTGACAAATCTTCAAAAATGACAGCTTCGTTTTTTTGGCCTACTTTGTATATTGTAGAAGAGAAGAATATCGTGATGTATGAAAAGAAGAGCGAGGGTGCCTTCAGTTTGAAACAATTACAATGTTCCTATATATGCTTCCAGATAAGGATAATATCAAGGTGTTGGATGGGAAAACGTGTACCATCCCTGAAGAACGGCAGGGGATAGTTAATTTCCTTGAGAAGGATGGAAAGGGAAAACATGTTCTCTTCGACGAAGTTCCTCTAACTCTTGGAATCCGAGACAATATGGATGAAAAAAGCCTATCTGAGGATTGGGCGAAGATCTTAAATATTCAGGGCTGTCTGAGTCTAACCTTTGCCTTTCGCCCGAACGATGTCACTTACACAAAAGACATCAACATTCACGATATCAAGGTTGCAGGTTTCGCCTTGAATGTCCTTGATGTCGTGAAAAGAAATACACAGCTGGTGTCAGATTTGTTCTTGGCTCTTGGGGATTATTCTCGCCGAATTTTTGTCTGCGAAGAACCTACAATGCGTGGTATGGAATTTGACCACCGTGGAGGAAGATTACTGCTCACCTTGTTACCAATTGCCTCATGCTCCATACTTCATGCTTCTTGCGAGAACAAGTTGAACTGTGACGCGGTCAGAAGCTCTACGGCTATATTTGTGATTGAGGGATCAGCTAAGAAACCACTGTATGTGTGCGTGAGCAACAGGGAAAGACGCGATCGGTTGATACACACCTTGAATCTCGCGTTTGACATAGAAGTCAAGTTCATAGATTCCCTAGGAAGATTTCGTGGAAAGGCTGAGTCTTCTATCGTAGTTGTCACTGATGATCAGATTCTTGGGTATCACCCGAATAGCGAAATTGTCATTCTGGACCTACACGAGTGCAAGTGGAGAAATTATGTCCGCATGCTCTCCTCATGTGAGAGCGAGGTTACCATCGTCATGGATCAGGAGACCCTGCAAACGGGAAAATATATGCCAGTCAGGATCGGCATTCCAGACTTGAAAACTGCTAACTCTTTGGTTGAAACGAATAAGAAACTCAAGGAAACATTTCAAGAGAATTTTAAGAAAGTGTGCGAGAGAGAGCAGAAGATAACGCATTTGGACGAGATAACATTTTCCCGAACGAGCATGCTTCTCTTTCATCACGAGAGGAAAAATGAGGGACGTTCAAATTCAGATATTTCCCGGAGTACACCAAAATTCACTGTAATATTTGGACCTCCCTCTTCAGGAAAGAGCATGGCATTGTTCGACAGCATCCAGCATCTTTGTCAAGAAAACCAGGAAAATGATCGCATTCTCTTACTCCATATGAGAAGCGTCCTCAGTCACCAAGCCTCTCTAGATCACCTTCAGAAGCATAAGAATTCGCTGGACATTGTTCGCTCGGAGGCATGGTCTCCCCATGATATCCTCGATAATCATCAAGTACATGCCATAAGGTGGAAGTATCCAAATTCAATCATTCATGTGCATGTCGATGACTATCGCATCCAGTCCGAAAGCACGGATGAAGAGATTCAAATGTGGAGAAAGTTCAGGAGCGACCTGAGTAAAGACCAGAAGCTGACGCTGACGATAGCGTTTCAGTCCCACTCGAAAGCCGGCCGAGAGATCTCCATGACAGACCTGACTATTTTTTTCAGAGATCAAAAAGTAAATGTTATCACACTCCCAGAAAAAAATACTAGAATCATTCCTTATTGTACCAGCAACTGGCTTCTCAGTCAAATCCATAAGAATGAGACCCACACCCCACTACGACTAGAAGTCCAAAGCCTTCCAACAGGCTCACGCCCTGGTGCCCTGGTCCTAGGTCCCAAACCCAAGTACATTACCATTGACTATCATTGTCAAGGCTATCATACGAATGAGAGATGCCAAGGGCAGGAAAAGTGCATGCCTTTTATCGGGGCTTTTTTTTGCTTCCGCTTCGCCCTCAAGAAAAGAAGAGAAGACGAGAAGAATGAAGAGAAGAGAGAGGGATGGAAAAAAGTTGGGGGAAGACAGACGGGAGATGTCATTCACATACTACTGTCAGATTATCAGCTTATGTCATTTTTTCAGAATGTATTCAAGGATGAAGAAAGAAAGTTGATATTTCTTCATCCGAGAGATTTTCGAGGGTGTGAATCCAGTGTTTTCATCACAGTTAATGTGGATGATTCTTGGCTTTTGGAGAGCATGTCCAGAGCGCGAACTGATCTCTTCATCATTGATTGCTTACCGAGCCATACACAAGTATGGCAAACAATGCTGGACGAGGAGCGCTTAGAAATCTATCCAGTGACTGGAGAGGAATATATCGACGATGTCACCCTTCGCCATCTAAATTCATGTGGAAATTTCCTCGTGTAAGTCCTTTTTATATGCATATGTTGCAACATAGAATAATCGAGGCGAAGTGGGAATACTTCCATAAAAACAAAGCGCATTCAAAAGCTTCTTCTTTCTTTAAAAGAAAAAAGCTTCTTATTTCAAAAGCTTCTTCTTTAAAAAATAATGTGTTCGGCATGTTTCTGGCAATGGCTCTTTCGAAACTCAGAAAGAGTCCACTTATTTCCCTCCAGTCTTGGTACAAAAAGCGAAGTTCATGTTCCACTAAGTAAACATATTTCGTCATAAAAAGATAACTTTTCCAATGCACTCTATGCTATTTTTGTTCCCGATATATTATGTATAGGAACAACATTTGTGGACACATGCACCAACGACAGGTATTCTAAAACGACCTTGGTATTGGTCCTGACTTCAGCATTGAATATTTTTGTCCCGTTGTACCTGCAGTGCTCTGTTTCCTTGTGTACAGTGATTTTATGCATTTCCTAATTAAATTAATCTAGGGGAATCAAAGCAAGTGAACCTCAGGGCCTCGTCGATTGTCCATCAACTTGGGAAGTTTAACATCCACGAACAAATGTCGTTTTCTGTTGGAAAATGTTGTCACTTTCTTTTTGAATATCTCAGGAGTTAAAGCCATATTACCTGTTGGGGGAAGTGTGCTATTTTCAATAGTGTAGTTGGTTCTTTCATGGAGAAACCTGTTCCCTTCTTATAATTGGTACAATGGCAAGCAACTTTTGAAACTCTGGGATACCCATGATGGTTAGCATTCTCAACGTCGCATGATCAAGGCTGAGGGTGGGACAGATTATGCTATACATGCTCGACGTTTAGTTTCATTTGACTTCAAAAGTATAATGCATTACAAAAGAGGTACCATTTGCGTACATAATGGTATCATCCGTTGGGAAAGATAAGGCAGGTGGCGTGATAAAACACTCTCCTGATACGAAAAGAAAAAAAGGAAGCAGTTATACCATCGCAACGTCCGCCAAATCAAATTATCATTTTTTCTCGTTCAATCACCTGTTGAAGCAATTTACTTGAGTCGTGCCAATTTTAAAGCGTTCAACGAAGAAATGCCGAGAGAACCTTATGGAGCCGGAAAAAGCTCTGAGTTCCGTTAAGTCTGTGAGGCGGTAGCTACAGTATATGGGGGTTCTTTGAATTTTTTTCGGTCTTAAAACAGCAGTCCACTTTTCTAAATGTTCATTATGACTACCTATTCACATCACTACTGCATCTGGACACATTACTGCATTTCCCTTAATTTAAAATTGTTCAGGCATCTATGCATGAAAATAATCAAAATGTAGCTGAAACTCCCTTCACTCCCCTTCTACCACAGTTACAATATTTTCCAAGGTCAAGTCATGGTATAGAAGTATACATGTGTTGCCCACATTTAATTCCATGTATGCTACGAACCAATGAGATGTTAAAGAAGGAGAGGGATCGGAGAGAGGCAATCCTTCACTTCGTACGTATGAGGGGCTCTGATGGTTTCCAGGCCCTTCTTGGCGCTCTTACTGAGATTGGGCAGTCCCACCTCCTGGGATATATAAAAGAGAATGATGTCGTGGGGAATGAATAAGTTTATTGTGAGTTTTGATGACGAAATTCAGGGTTTCCCCTTTTAGCAGGCCCATCCGTTTGATTCGAGAGGTTAGCGTGGGAACCATTCAAGAAGTGGAAGGGATTCTGGAGGTTTTGCACACAGTCAAGGTCCAGGCAAACGACTTGTCCAAGTCCAAGGTGTGCCATCACTTCTCGGGAATACGAACCCAGTTGGAGATCTTCCGGTCGTTAGTCGACGGATTCAAGAAGAAATTTAAGGAGAGAATTGTGCCCATTTTGAACGCTATTCGCGGCTGTGGCTCCGAGGAAATTTCTCTCTCCCAAATCGTGCAGCAAATGATATCATCCCCCTTCAACAAGGAGTATCTCTCCAACTGGTTGAGAGGGAAAGAAGTGGAGATAAGAACATTGGAAAAGTACCTGGAATTCTTTGATGGAGTCTCCTTCGCCTTTGATCCAGGGGAATTTTGCAACGTTACCAAAGATCTGAAGATCACATCCACCATCTGTTTTGTTTTCGGAGTTGGTTCCAAAACTGATGCCTATTTGGAGCGAATATCTGCGTACTTGAAGGGAGAAGAATTGGACAGCTCCTCTTTGGAGCGTGAAATCCCACAATTTTGGTTTGATGATGAAGATATCATGCGGGCATTGCAAGCCGATACGAGTAATTTCCTGAGTTTCTTCAAAGCCAACAAGTCAAAGAGTAACTTAACGTTCGTGGTGACAGAGAAGCAACTCCAAAAGACATCTCACGACATCTTCCTTTTCGAAAGCGGGGTCTTCAGACGTTTCGTTCCACCCGGAATACCCGGATCACCGAAGGCTCTCGAAGTCACTCAGGACACCATCCAACTGTCCTGGGAATCGCCCTGCTACGGATTGGAATTCGTGGAAGGATATCGGGTGTACTACCGTCCGCTCATGGGCGAAGACGAATGGTTTCAGCACGGCGTGGCCGAGAAGACTGCTACTGTCTCCGGACTTATTCCCAATCGGAAATATGTTTTTAAGGTTAGTTTCAACGAACTTCGTTTGTTCAAGTGAACAAGGTGCCATGACAAGGACTCCTACAGGTTTTTCTTAACATTTTCTCCACTGTTTCAGCTACTCCATGTATAATTTGAATCGCATCCCGTTTTTCATTTCGGTCTCTTGAAACAGGTTCAAAGCGTTTGCTCAGTCGGAGTCAGCGATTACAGTGCTGAGAGTGAACCCATCCATATGAATGCTCCTAAATTCAACCCGTCCGTTGATGCAGGTAATCAGAAATAGAATAGTGAAATTGTATGAAAGCTAGCGATGATTTTGATATGATATCAAGCTACAGTATATTTGCTTGCAATGGCCCAAACTCTTATGCCATATTGCTCTGCCAGTAGGCTATCTAATTCCTTCGTTAATGGGGGATCATAAGGAAATGACCACTTACCAAGGAAAAATACTTGGAAGCTATAGGCACACCCTAAAATTGCATGCTAAAAACAGTATATTATTTATGAACGAGAAAATTTCTCTAATCTATTTTTAGTCCTCTCACAGCCGCCCCCCCCATTTGTGATTTTATCTTGAAATGTATTTTTATTTAAAATTGAAAGCTTTTACAAAATAGATCCTCTAAATTGAAATAGTTCCATATTTAACCCTTTAATCCATGCTTTTGTCTTTTTCGGCCAAAAATATATAGTAGGTTTCACTTATTCCTAGAACACAGTAATAGTATTTTTAAAAAATCAATTTTGTAATCTTTACGCCCTAAAATCTTATTGTTGCTCATTTGCTACAAAAAAACGGCATTTTTAGCTTTCTAAACTAGGCTGCATGGACGCTAGAGAGCTCAGTCGGTCCGTCAACATTTGTACATACCTCAGCACAAAAGAAAATGTAAAAATACGGATGGGTCTGGACGCTGGATTCGCGTTAAGTTAAAGATAATTATCTTTTACTTCGGTCGACGAAGACAGTTGTTTTTAATTTGCTTGCCACCAGGAGTGTATGACACCTAGCGACCGCATGGTTGCTAGGTATGAGGACCGGACTGTTGCACATCTGCTACGAACAGATTTACTTCAGGAGTTCGAAAAACATTCAAAACATTCAAAACGAACATTTAAAAAATGTTCGTTTGGTTTGTAGCATATCTGCTACGTCATGCATTAAAGGGTTAAAAGGAGATTTCGAGGGGGGGAAAATGTTGGACTAGTTCCTCATAGTCAGTTTATAGACCACATCTGCTTGGTAAGAGGCCTGTTGCCTTTCCAGTTACCTCTGATTCACAAAGAGCAGTAGTAGTCTCATTTTTATGCGTTCTTCATCTACCTTCCTTTTCCAAAAAAATATGTTTGATGCAAAGAAAGGCAGCTTCGCAGCTTTTAGACAGGTCATGTGAAAGAGTATTGTGAATAGCTCTTTCATAGAATATGGGCTCGTACCGTTTGGTTCTTTCCTGGATTGGATTAATTATATCTCCCTCTTTGGCAACCCTTCTTATAAATATGACCACTGAGGGAGAAGACTTTGCCGTGGGTGGAACAGTTTCTTAAAATGGAATTCTCGATCTTGTATTTTTCCGAAATCGAATCTCGTTTTGAGGCATTCATGACTCCAAGATCTATATAATAATACCGTTGTTTGTCTGTCTGTTTGTCCGGGAACTCCTCCTCTCCCGCTCAACGCATCCGAGCGAATCCGGTACCGATGGAAAGCTTGAAACCACGGAAAGTTACAGAACTCATTTTCGCCGCTTTACGACTAAAACTCGAGGAGTTACCACACTTACTGTGGCAAAGAGGGGAGTCAAGTTAGTAGCTTGGAGGTAGCGCGTCAGGCACCTGTGACGGGTGATCACGATTCGAAACCTGGCTGAGTTGCCTATTCTTTTCCAACTCTAACCCCCTCCGTTCTTATGATTGAAGGTCTCCAAGCACAGAGCATTGCCATCTATGCATGTGAAACGTTATATGGCAGCTGAACCAAGACTTTGCTTCCCCGAAATCACCATGAAGAAAAGTGGAGCGCAGGACTTCTATTTCCGCGGGCTCCGGTCCCGCATGACCTACGTGATACACGCGAGAAAGTATCCCATTTTGTCCCGGGAGTGCGGTTGTGGAGGGAACGAGGATGCATAATATGAGACCTAAGCGGCATTTGCATGAAACTTGGGTAGTTCTTTTTAAATTCCCGGGATGCCTCCTTGCCCGGATTTACCTTCTCCCTCCCTCTCAACATAAATCTGAAGAAATCTTCAAGTTCGCGTCTAATATTGCGTGTTATGCCTTGCAAACTCACGGCCTTCATGGCTTATCCCTCCAACTTCCTGAGCACAAAAAAGACATTGCCTGTGACTCATTTGTTTTACGACGTTGCTGTAGAAATGGATGGGGAAATGCATTGGGAAAACGAATGCATGCGGAACTTGATAAACAGCAACGTGCAACGGTCGACATCATCCTTGAGAGCGTGAGACAAAAAAAAGGTTATTCCTCCAGGTGTTTCTGAAGTGACGGACCCGGTAGAACAGGGAAGGCCTTCCTGTGCAATACGCTACTCCTGATGGGGAAGGAAAAATCGTATTGCCTGTTTCATGGACTGGAAACTTGGAACATGGTAACTTTGCTGGAGGGAGGAAGAACTGCCCATTCCCGTTTCAAATTTCCAGTGCCGATTGTTGAAAATTCAACCTGCAATGTCCGTCCCCAAGGCCAGGAAGCAAATGAATTGAGGTGTTCCCGGCTCTTGATGTGGGATGAAACACCCATGGTTTTTTCCTACGCCATCAACGGCCTTGACAGGATGCTTCACGACATTATGAACCGGGAAGTGCCTTTCGGCAGCAAACTCTTGGTTCTTTGTGGCGGCTACTAACAAGTTCTTTCCGTCGTTCGCCACGGCTATGAGTGCGCCATTTTTGCTGCTTACTTGAAATGTACTTGCATACTTGAAAACGTCTACACATCCATCCATACCAAGTGAATTAATCGCGGATAACGAGGGATGACCGTATACTCTAACAATCCCAGAGACTTGGAAACGTTAAAGCAAAACGTTGCACTGCCCATTGCAGGCATTACTCATGAGACCTTGCTTTATGTTTCTGCGAACATGCACAGGCCTGGCACCGTGTGCTTGCAGGAATGCGATGGTCACTTCCAACACTTGCTATGACATTTGTATTCATAGGTGAGATGTGCTCCTATATTTAGCCAATTTTGATCAGATACGCAATTTAAGTTACTCAAGATATTGTTATATGTATTTAATTGTGTGACTTTTGAAAGACCTTGTACCATATGTAACAATTTTATTTATACATGCCCAAAAAAGCCAAGGAAAACATTGTAGCACCTATATGTCAGTCGCTCTTTGGTGGCTAGTATTGGATGTTCAAATAGGACTCCTTCTCAGACTCACAAAGAACGGCGCGCAAAAACTTATCTTGCAGATTATGTAGCAAGTATAATTTTATTGGGTTGGAAAGAAAGTCTTGCAACACTCTGCGCAAATTTTTCAAAATTTTATAACTTTATTAAAATGCAATTTCAGTCTACAATTTAATGACCATTGTTGTCTGTGACATGTTCCTAACGCACGGGTAACTGCTCGAAGCCCTTTGGCCAGAACTCTGGCGATTGCGAAGCGAAGAAACACCTGGAGGAATAACCTNCAGAAGGAATGTTGTACTATGAGCTCCTGCCAACCGGTACCACCGTGACTGCCTTCGTCTACGCTGCTCGACTTCAGAAGTTGGATGGCGTCATTCAAAAAGAGCGTCCCAAACGCGACAAAGTTCTCCTTCTGCATGACAAAGCTCGTCCACGTGTTGCGAAGATGACTCGCCAGACGATTTCGGAACTGGGCTGGGAAGTTTTACCCCATCCAGCGTATTCTCCGGACTTGGCCCCTTCCGACTATCACTTGTTTCGGGCCCTCGAGAATCACCTGCGGGACAATGCCTTCGACGATCGAGCACAGCTCGAAAATGATGTCGGCCGTTTCTTCGCTTCGCAATCGCCAGAGTTCTGGCCAAAGGGCTTCGAGCAGTTACCCGTGCGTTAGGAACATGTCACAGACAACAATGGTCATTAAATTGTAGACTGAAATTGCATTTTAATAAAGTTATAAAATTTTGAAAAATTTGCGCAGAGTGTTGGAAGAATTTCTTTCCAACCCAATAAAAAAAAGTATGAATAGCCCCTCACAATTATGACTGCAATGGAAATACAACTGTGTGGAGCCTACTAAAAGTAAGTGGCTAAAAACGAAATCAAGCAACCTGAATCAATTTATGCTGGTGCTACAAGGAGTGGAACCATGTCCGTCCTAAGTGTTCATCCAGGTGACTTAAATATTGCAGTTTTTCATTTAAAAAAAGGGGGACAAAATGGAAATATTTTGTGAATAGTTACAGTGAGTCTTCATGTCTCATTGAGATCAAGTTCATTCTGACGGAAATACAACGTAGTTAAGACAGGAAACACAAGAATTCGGTAAGAATATTAAAGGTCCACCCTGCATGATATATTCCATAATGAAGGTGTTTCATAATGAGGCCAAGACGTGATTTGGATACAAGTCAACGCTAGGATTTACAACAATGCAGAGTTTGTCTCGAGAAATAATTTGCGAAATATACAATAAGGTGCCAATTATCGTGAATTGCAGAATATTTCGTTTTGCAGCAGTGGACATGGAGTTGCAATCTTGCCTTGGACTTCGAAATTTTCAAAAGGTAACGCTTCTTGACGCTCTACGTCTCTCTTGGACCAATGAGCTGGCAAAAGGAGAAGAGACGCCGCAGAAATGCGCCACTCAGGAGCAACCAACACCTATTATTGCATTTATGCAAGAAATCATTGCTACGACGGGAGCATACCGAGACATGGATTTTCCATTGCCCGAAAAACTTCGTACGAAATGCGAGGAAACTGAAGATGAAGAGGTAATGCATCTTAATTGCTGCGCTATTGTTCGTGTTTTGGAGAAATGTATATTGATACAACTTCTTATCATCAAAATTAAAGATTGTTCACCCTAGCGTTATTCCCGAACTAATCGAATAAAAATTTCTTAGGACCACAAAAGCAATTGAGGAAGGATTCAGCAATGGTAAGCAACCTCGAGCGAGCTGCAATTATTAGATACATGACATTACATCTCATGGAGTATCCATAACGAAAGAGCAGCCTCAGGGGATAAACAGACGATGCAATAAGTACGTACACAAGAATTTCATGGACGAAATTTATTAATTTACCCAAAATACTGAGTGTATTTGTGAAAGAGGAATAGACCAGATTTGTATTGCATTAAGCAAGCTGAAGTCCAAAAAATGTTTCATGAAATTGAATTCGAGATTTTTTCAGGAAAATTTGACTAACAATAGATTTTACACGATTAGAATTGAGGAAGTAAAGATTCCAGAGAGAGAGAAAGGATTCAAAATTCATGAATATGAAAAACTCTGGCGATGAATCGAAGTCACATTTGGATCTGTCATTTTATGATGCTCGACAATCTTTTCTCCCCAGTTTCATCACTTCCATAATTCATTTACCTTTATTTATTCCACTTGACTCTTCATCCTCATCATAAATAATCAATTTTCATCAATCATCCACACATGGAATATTTTCTCCGCTTGGGATTTCTGTCACACTCGATATAACGAACTTCTAAATAAATAATTTTATTTTTCAGGATTTCTTTTGAGTTCTCGGCCGTCCGCCTTTTCACATGCATGTTGAAAAGTTTACCTATTAGGAAGTTCTGTTTAGGGAATTTTTCAGTATTACGAATTTATTTACTTTTCATACGAAGGAAGAAAGTTGTTCCTTATAATGAAGTTTAAATCTGTTGCACATGTCAGAGCTACTTCCCTTCCCGTATTCCTGGAAAATCTAGTATAATGTCCAGAGACGGTTCGTGAAATTTAGCGCTAGTGTTTCGTCTATGGAGAGGGGATAGGCAGTGCCTTATTCTGCCTACCCGCTCTCCATAGGCGAAATAATACCTTTAGCTGTATTATTTCGCCTATGGAGAGCGAGTCACGCGGGATCACGAGCCGCCACTGATCATATAAAAAATTTAGCATGTTCCGCCTACTTATCAGTGTGGCCGCAGGGAGCAAGGGAGCGACTTCAGCCAGTCTCATTCCTCTCAGGATCTTAAGGATGAGGGTCAGGCAAAGTCCAGAATTCTTCTCGATCTAGCAATTGGAAGTCCTCGGATGAAAAATGGTCTTCGACCATTTTTCATTTCACGCTTCATTTCCCGATTAATGGACAACGCTTGTGAATCGTCCGATTTCTATTGCACATAAATTGGGATGCATCATACACCGTGTAGTGAAACGTGCGAATTCTGTGTTACGAATTTTCCTCATAATGAAAGTATTTTAGCCTGTCACTTCGAGTTCGTTGTATCAAGCGTCGACTGCATCGTATAGGTTTTATTGGTTATCAAGTTTCTCATTTTTCGTTAGATTTTTTTAACTTAATCGTTTTCTTCTTTCCTAATAAGTAACTTCTGCACTTTAATTAAGAGAATTGCACACATTTTCCCCCCAATTAACTGCAGTCTGCAGTAGAATATAACTACCTCTATCTTAAAGCGGACTGCAAACACGTCGCTGTGTTTAAATGCAGCCAACGAAAGCCCTTTCTTCTTTCATTCGATACATTACCCATACAAAATTATTTCAATGATCAACAAAATTCCGGTGTTAAAATGATATTAAAGTTGAACAATGTTTAAAGGATATGAGAAATGCCATTTTTCAAGATGAAAATTCTGAGCAAAAGGTATGCTTTCATAAAAAAAATACTTGCAATACATTTTATAGGTCGATGCAGGTTATTATGATGCCGAATCGAAAATCTGATAAATCTTGGCACTCATGCTTTTTCTCGATTTAGTGGACTTGAAAGAGTGAGAGGCCTAGAAGGAATAACAGGAATTATGGCAATGGTTTTGTATATTATATGCAGGGTGAAGATAGTGACGAAGACAATCGAGAATACCCGAATGACGCTCCGAAAATTCATCCGAGCGATATTTTGATGATAGCCTTCCAGAATTCTGAGCCATCACTTCGCCAGCTATTGCTTGGTCGTCTATTTCTCATGGGTCA